CCTTATTATTATTATTATTATTATTATTATTATTATTTATTTATTTATTTATTTATTTATTTATTTATTTTACGAATATTACAAGTTCCCTTTTTTGAGTTAAACCACCAAATGTTGATTCACGTCTGTATACGCGCGTATTGTAAAGTTTACTTGAAACCTCGAGCATGAAGAAAAAGAATGGAATTGCCCGCCTTCGTGAATTCTGTATTTAGGCATGGGGAGGTAGGCACTCTTTATGGAGCGACGCTCTAGTTCTCTTTATGCTAACCATGAAGATGTACAGTATGTGTAACTGATTGGTTTAGAGTAGAGTTTCAAACTAGCGTAATAACCACATTTAAACGCCATCCTCCAATTTAACGAAAACAATAAGATACGGTACTCAATTAGGGCATTTTTAAAAAATAGATACACTGTATTGAATAAAAAAAATCTTTCGAATAAAAAAAATCTTTCGCTTAACATTAGCAATTAATCATTTGTGAAACAAAATGATAGGCAAGTGTTATATTGAACAGTGGTGGATTCGAGCCCAGTCCGCACGCGAGTCCCCAACCTCCTATTTTTTTCAAAATTATAAAAAAAAATGGATAAAACAGACAAAATTGTATTCAAATTTTACTCTGAGATTGCCATTTCCGGCCACATAGAAGTGCCATAATCATAATTTTTGCTTACCTCAGTCCCAACCGTTGTGGGGCTGAGATGGGTGGACATTTCCGTTTGCGCAAGACTCTCTCTGGGTCCCCTCTATTTTTACTTCCTGGATCCCCGCTATTGCAAGAGTATCATTTCCGGGATACTATAGAAGGGTAATTTTTATCTATCGGGAGAAAAGGGAAGGTTTCGACGGGGACCCATATCAAGGATATCCCTCATGATAAATAATCCATTGAGATCGTGGAAGCAATGTCGGCTTTGTTCGGACATCAGTGGCAAATTCAAGGGGAAGGGGGAGATATATACAAAATTTAAAACATTATTGAAATTTTAAGTGCAATTTCCGGCCATAAGTTATACCGTAGCTTGATGCCTATAAAATAACTAATAAAATTCACCTAACTTCGTAAAATATTCGTAGTTTCCAGGGGTGGGGGCCGAATTCCTCTGGACCCCACCGGGGGCCCTTGGCGGCCCCTGGCCCCAGCCTATTGATGTATACATTATAGTTTGTGTCCTCAGTGCTAAGCAGCAAAAAACTTGATTTGAATATTATTTTCTATGATTTACCGTACCAGCTGCTACCTATAAGCTATTACGTGCTTAAAATGAAAAGTTCGTCTCCAGTTGAGTGAGTCCTGAAGTTGTATGAAGAGAGAGAGAGAGACTAGTGGTCTTAGATCCGCAATGATATCGAACGGGCTTCTGTGGTCTAAAGGTTTGACGCTTGTCGAGGTAGCGAGAGATTGCTGGTTCGATTCCCACTAGGGACCTGGTTTTCAAATACAACTAACTTTCGTTGGTACGATAGCCCTATAACATCACGTCCCTATACTGTTATTGGCTTTTCCCAGCAGTAGCTGGGAAAGCCATTGTTTTTGTTCTGAATTTTTTTTCTTCCATATTTTTTGCCTATTCTATGTTTGCACTGGGTTTTTCTGGCCGGCACTTTGATCACTTCTCATGCTTAGAACTTTTCCATGCTTTGCCGAAGCATAGACCAAAGGCTATACCAAGTACCTAATATTTGGTGTCTATCTCGGGTGAGATGTGCATGTGAGGACCAATTAAAGTGATTGAAAGGGCAAGGCATTCTACACCAGATATTTAAAAAAAAATCAATGGGTACAATTGAAACTTTGATAACAGCTTGTCAAGGTCTAGTAAAAAAATGATTACATTTTTGTGACAATCCGGAGTAGGGTGCGGATATGAGGACCATTCAAAGGAAAACGTCTAAGACAGACCAGATATTTCAAAAACGGATCAACTTTGTTCGAATCACAAACGTCGCGGTAGTTGTGAAATTGGTTTCCATTATTGTTTGTTTTACTTCATAAATTGTTTTAGTACTAGGCCTAGGCCTATACGTATTTTTAACGACTTTTCTTTTTCTTAGCAATCAGGAAAAGACCTAAGTTCTGTTATACAAACATACATAGTAGGCCTAAGTCTAGTTATCTAGGCCTATTTGATTTATACATTATTTTGTGTTCTCAGTGCTAAGCAGCAACTTAATTTGAATATTATTTAATTATTGATATGATTTACCAGCTGCTACTTATGAACTAGGCCTATTACGTGCTTAAAATACTTCGCTCCACTGTGCAAAAACCTGATTTGATTTACATATATATAATAAAATCACATGAAAAGAAACTTTGGTATAGAGATACACCTCTTGTGGTGTTAAATAAAGATGATAATAAATATTTGAGAAAAACGCTGCTAACATAAATTTGGCCAATTTCGCAAACAAAATATTTGAACTTGAGACTGTATGAAAGAGAAGAGCGTTCTCTATATGTTATAAAGTCTTGGACTTGGTTGACTTGGCATCGATTATCAGAGTGATCACAGCGATCACACACAGATCAGTTACTCTGAGCTGTGTGCGTGTTGTGTTGTAGTGTGTGTCATGCTGAACAACAAACGAGCTATCAGCAGGAAACAGCGTGAAGTTGAGTGTTGAGGAAGCTATGCGAAACTGCAAGCTCGTTGTTTTGAATTGTTAAAACAGCGGCAGGCATCCTTGGTATGTGAATACAATGTTTGGATATACTGAATAAAGAAAACACGGATTTCTTTGATAATGTACATTTGGCTTGTGATGTGCGTCGTGTAGCCTGTCGTGTCCAATCAAAATGTTCGCGCCGAGGCATTCGTTCAGGGGATTAGGCCTACGTTTGTTTTCAAGGAAATGGTTATTAGCACGGCAATTCTGAAATTGAAGAGATATTATAGGAAACATGTAAGTAAATGTAATTTAAGATATGTAGGCCTATGTAGTGTTTATCCTGATTATTTAAGACTGTTCATTCATTTGTTGTGGATAAATTATTTGGACACCTGTCCTCTTGCTTACCCAGGTTGTATCCGTCCTGTCAGTAGCGGCAGCGATGAGGTGCAGCCTACAGAACTGTACCTAAATACCTTGGCTTTGTGGCTAGATAAGCTAGGCCAAAGATACTAGAAATACAAGATAGAGCACTCGCATAGTAAAAATGAGGCGGAAATTGGGCCCGAAGTAGGCGGCGCCCTTCTTTTTTTTATAAATATAATGCTTTCTATACTTCGGGACCCGACGTACAGACAGGGCGCCCTTCTGTTGCTAAGTATCCAGACGCACATGGCGCCCTTCTTATTCCACTATAATGGAGGAAAACTTTATCACTAGAATGCGTCTGGCCATACGATTCTGCGCTATATTATATTGTTCTTTTATTCTTTACCGATCCATGATTAATTAAGGCTTAATTGTTTTGTGTTTTATTTGGATAATAGTGATTTGTACCTCCGCCAAGGAGGTTATGTATTCACAGATGTCACTGTCTGGGTGTCTATTCCAGTTTGTTAAAATATATATTTATAATAATATATAGCTAATTTTTTGTGTAATGTCAGTGCAATATTTTACCTTTCTCCATCCTTCGGAAAACGATATAAATGATTATATCTTATCTTGTTTGTATAATGTGTTGCAATTTATTTCACAGCACCGTCCTCCAATGCCGTACGTTGCCATAGCGCATCGCGGTGTACATTCTTTTAATTTGAGAATTAATGAATTAAATACGGGACGACTTGGTAGCGAAAGTTTGGTAGAAGTTTTTTAGATCCAGCCGTAAATGACGCCCCATTGTTTGTATTCCCGCCATGCATTTCGGTGAAACACTTTTTTTCTGTGGAGAACTCTATCTTGTGTTTCTAGTATCTTTGGCTAGGCCTAGGCTTATTTAAATCGTCTTATTCAAGCGAATGCGAGTTTGAGCGGAATTCATTCAAGCGGATGCTAGTTCGAGCGGAAAAAAGATTCACTTGTGCAAACAACAGCCTGTACGAGTTATGTATGAATTACTTTTGAGCTAACAATTTGCATTCGACCGAGGCTCAAGCTTTGCCTGGGAGCCAGGCACTGGAGTATCTAGGGGGTGTGCAAGGGGTGGGAGCAGGCGCACGCTCCTCCAAACAAAAATTACTCGTGCCCCCAGTCACCCCCCAAAAAGCACTTACAAGTAGTTAAATCACCTAAAATCACCTTATTTTGCGAGTTAGCACCCCTCAACTGATTATCAAGCCACCTACTTCACCTTCACGCTCCCAATCAGCACCCCAAAAAGTGGGTTTTGAACTATAGACAAATGAATAGTGGAGAAAATTGGTATGATGTCTGTTACTATGCTGTTGATAGTCTTGTCACATAGGCCGGCAGATCCAGAATTTTTCAAACGACAGGGTGGGGCACAACAGTTTCAGAATAGATAAGTGAGTAGCACATAACATTAATATGCATTGACATTTTAAAAATTTAGTGGCAAAATGGGGGGGTGGGGCACTTGCCTCCCCGTTCCCCCTACACTGGATCAGCTCCTGTGTCACATTACTACACCAATGATCTGCACCTTCTGACACCATATACGTAAAAATAATTTAAATTTCTATAACAATACAATAACAGTTACTACCATTACAAATATAGGCCTAAATCGTAAATCTACAAATACAGTTACTGTACAACACTATATAATTCAATTACAAATACAATTTGCTTTTTTTAAATACAAAACCCCAACTGGAGACAAAAACCATGAATTCACCTGACACGTGCGAAATTCTATAGTTTTAAAATATAAGTGCTTGCTAGCGGCCATCTGGTAGTCAGATTTGCCAAGACTGTAATTCAAACATTGAATAATTATCAAAAAGTACCAAGAACATTTTAGAACTTTAGTGCACAGAGCATTTTTTGCATTTAAAACAAACAAATACAAGAATAGGGCAACGATAAATTCGCCCTTGTTTTAGTTCGCACTAAATGCATCCGCTCAAACTGGCATCCGTTCGAACTGACATTTGCTCGAACTGTCATTCGCTCGAATTGACTGGCATTCACTTCTTCATGCATGTTGTTGGAATTGGGTTTACCAGCCTAGACTTATAGTCACCTAGCTAGGGGTTATCTACAGTAGTAGGCCTACAGTACTGTATTATTTTAGAATACAGGCTAACTCGTATACATGCACCCTAGAGAGGACTTTTTTTTATGGATTTCACATTAAAAGACAAACACCTGTGTAGAAAATTGTATACCCAAGAGAAGTTACTGTATATACTGTATTAATATTACTGTACTTGTTTTGTTGTAAACCATGCACAAAAGGTACATTTTAAAGCAGAGTTTTTTTAAAAATAATCACCATGGCTAGGGGTATTGTACGATACCGTATCTGTGCTTCCATTTCCAAAGGTAGGGCAAATGGCATTACGTCACCATCACTTAATGAAGTGCCGGTATGTGTGTGACGTCATTCTTTCAAGACTGTCAAAGTTTGCAGATTGCCCACGGTGAGCGTTGTGTGACGAGCGAACAATAAGGAATATTAGATTAGATAATATTTTAATCATTGATATTATAGTATACTTTTTGATTTGTTATTTCAGAAATGCTGAGCTGGTTATTAAATAACAAGTAAAATGTAGAAAACTTACAAAAAAAATTGTATATCGCAGCTTTTGACAGTATATGAATTTCATACAGGAGGAAATAAACTATAGTTGAAGGATTTTCGCTAATTGAGTGTTTAAGCATGGCTCGAAACAGTTTCCTTGGTCGTAGCCTGACGTCGAAAAAGATTCAATTTTTTCTTATGACATTGATGATGATGTGGATAAGCTGTATGCTGATGATCTTTCAAACGATGAAGGCGGAACCACCGCAGATGCAGGAAAGTGAAAGACTGAGAAAAGAGATTTTAGAAGTTAGCCAAAAATATATCCAAGCACTTGCTCTGGAGCATTCCAAAGGTGGCCAAGTTCCAGATGCTGATATAGCTCACGGTAAGAAAGGTTTTACATGAAGCACTAGAATCTATTGGGATTTACTTTTTGCATACCTGTATGCATGTGTGTTTGTGTGTACTGTATGTTCACGAGTATGTTAATACTAAAATAAAAGATGCCAGCTTAAAAACAATAGGCCCACACGGCAGGTTGCTTCTAAATTTTGGTTATTTTACCAGTTAGTGATGACACTATGAAATTTTTGTTTTTTCCAAAGAATTTTATAACATGATGACAAACTTCTTTCTTTCCCACCCAGCCCATTTTGTAACCTATCAGTAGATTTGCAATATTATTTACTATGCACTGTTTCTATTGTATGCATAGGCCTACTATCTTGTTGTAGAGCATGTTGCCAATTTTTTCATTTGTGACAACTTATTGCTTGGTCCATGGCATACGTTAATGCGTATACAACATAATTTATGGAAACGCCTACTGTAGCCAAATGCAGTCTAGCAAAACAAACAGTTCGGTTTTAATAACCATCTTAGAATGCATGATTGATCTTGGATTCAATGATTGAAATACATAAATTAAATATTATTCCATTGCATTGAATCTAAAGCTTGATTTCCATACAATCACTACACACTATCACCGACAGCTTTCGGAGATGCTGATTGGTTGGTCGAATCGTGGAGTCTTCCCGATTACTGTACTGTACATCGGGGACTGCTACATAGTACAGCGATTACACTGAACACCCTGTAGCGATTTTAAGAAAACCAGGGTTCAACTGTGTTGTTGGAGTGAGCTACTGCACTACTTGCATTGCATTGCTTTCAACTGTGATATTAATATTGTACACCGTTATTCAAATTTTTGAGAGGGGTTCATTTTGGTGTAAAATGGATACATGTATACTGCACGCAAATAAACGCCCCTTAATATCTCTGTGAATGTAGAACTACAACACGCACCATCAAAATGTGTTATGGCGTGATCCTAGACTTATTAATACCAACCAGGTTAGAAAAATGTAATTGTATTGGAGTAGTATAATAAAATGTGTTGAGAATGATGTTGCTTCCATCAGTTTTGTTTACAGTCATTTAGAGGGCCGGGGCTGTCTCTTATACACATCTAGATGTGTATAAGAGACAGGGCGGTTATTCGAAGGAGGTTTTTATCCAAGTGTGGATCTAGAGGGGGCATTTATTCGAGAGGAGCGTTTATTCAAATAAATACAGTACATTTGCATTTCATTTAATTCATTTTACTACTGTATAATAATTCAGTTTAACACACAAAAAACAGTTATACCATCTTTAATGAGCTGTTACTATTAGTGTTTGAACAATGAAATTAAATATTCAAATTGCTTCCCTCATTTTCAAAGTAAATTATTAACTTTCAATTGAATATTAAAATGATAATTTTTTTTATAGCTAGTGTAGATTAATGCTGTTCCAACATTTCTTGGTATACATGTTATTGTTAGACACTTAAATTAGGTGGTGGTACAGTAATCAATTTATGGATTTTGGTAAACAATTGTACATTTCTGAGTTGGTTTGATTTTTGTTGTGTTGAAGATTATTGATAAATTTGATCTTTTTATGTTAGGGCTTTTGAAGTTTTTCTTATAGTGGGTAAATTGAGGAACATTTATCAGTGCTTTTTGAAATTCTATCTTATATATAATAGTATAGATTACTATTACAGTACAAGGTTACAGTAGGGGACATCCTGTTATACCGGAATTCGAAATTTGAATAGTGTTCTTTACAAGCAGTGCACATTCGATACAAACACATGCATGCCTTCTCCTTCGAAAAACGCCCTCTAATTTGTGGTACTACAGTTAATAGTAGGCCTACTTTTCAAGATACAGTAGGATTATGTTTCAGGGAACCTGAGTAGTGAGAGTAAGAATTCTTGCCATTTTATAGGCCTACTCTTTAGTTAAAAATTACAGAAACTCAAATTGGATTGAGTGGTCCTTTCACTCAGCACTCAGTATAAAACACATTGATTACTACGTATGGTTTTTGTGGCTTTTCGTTATTGTGTGTGAGTGCATCACTGTACAGTAAGCCACTTTCTCTAGAAGAGTACAAGATAAATGATGAATTTTTTCATAAAGCAATTCAGTTTTATTTTTCAAATATTATCTAAACGAGAACTTTTTTATACCTTGTTCATCGAAACTGCCAACTGCCAATAATGGTGATTTTGAATAAAAATAAAATTTTATCTTTGACCAGTTTAGCACACCCACAGCTACAGTATGAAAAAATGAAAATAAAAAAATATAATTTTATATTTATTTTTATTACTCCTACACTCCCCTGAAATATCCGCAAATAAGGTAGGCCTATGTTTCATATTATTTCTTCCTTTAAATTTAAAGAATTTATCAGTCTCATTTACTACACTGTTTACAGTAATTCATTAATAAAATTTTATTTTTATTTTTTCCTTCACCTACAGGTAGATGGTTTTGGCAAAATCATTTTCCTAAATGAGGAAACAAAATGTTAATTATTATTTTTTCCGCCTTTCTCGGACAATCTTTGAAAAGTATGTTTTCGAACCAAGATATTGTATAAAAAAAGTCTTGCCCTATGACTGTAGGCAGAAATTCAGTATATGCTCTGTGAGGGCACCTTTGAAAAATAGCATGAAGGAGCCATTTGAAAAAATTGAAGGAAATATTTTAAGTCAGTCCCCTTGTTAGTCTACAGTAGCATGGCCTTTCTAGGCCTATCCTAGGTCTACAGTAGGCTTCACTTGTTTCACCAACTCTTTAGCAAGGTTAAGGCTCATCGATTTTAGCCGAGGCCGCTTTCTGTAGCAACTAAATATTCCTCACAATCTCATGATATTTTTTCAATTTCTCATCAGATTTGAAGAAGACAATTACAATTCTACTGGATAATTTAATTGAACGAATTGACAAGTTAGAACAAAAAGTTGACACTGTTTTAACAAACAATACATTCCTATTAACTCGCAATGTAAGTTATATATTGGATAATCCTGGCATCATAAACTTAAGGGAATATCAAGGACGCCTAAAGGAACGATTTCAAGATGATGAGGCGGGGAATAATTTGTTGAAGGAGAACACAGGTATGGATAAAATAAAATATTCCATTAATTATTTTACTGTCCTGTGTAGTAGTAAGCTTTGACAAAATAAAGTAGTATTGATAAAGTGCTTGGTGGTTGATGCTTTCCTCCCAATCCCAGTGTGCTTGGTTCAAATCCTGTACAAGCACGGGATTTTTTCGCATGACTGAAAAAGTACATCTCCATTCCCTAAGTCTCGTATAAGACTTCACTTATAAAGCATCACCTTGTTTCATTTATTTAAGAGGGCCCCTGCAGTGTTCTCCCGAAGCCGTTTTATAGCCGTAAGTTTTACCGGTAAAAATAACTAGCCAACCAGTAAAAATTTTGAGATTATAATGAATTTCAGCAAAATGGAGTAGAACAAGCAACTCGAAGTCAGTCGTCAGTAGAGTTAGGCTAAAGCTACATTTAAACTAGACACGATTACGACACGATATGGATGCGCGCAGCATTGAAGAATACAAACAATGTAATGATACGTCGTTTTGTTATCGTGTGTCTTGTAAATCTAGGTTGAGTTGCATGAATGGCATAAGCTTAGCTTTAGAGGCCTGTCTGTAGTAACTTGGAATGTTTTCAAAATTAAAAAAATTACCTTGATCCTGGCACTTCTGTTAACTTTTATTGTATTTTTTTTTTTTTTTTAGGAGGTGATTTTAAAGTGACTGAATGTGACGTGAAAACAATGGACTTGAGATATTTTCCAAATTGCAATGCAAAGTTGCATGTAAGTAGCTATTTTTTACCATATTTTATGACAAGCTTACATTTTTATATAAATTTACAGAAACTTTACACGGGTCATCCAGTATTTTCATCATTTTCGCAAGAGTACCAAACATATTGTATGCTTGGGGCAGTGGCATATATAGGAGTTTTGAGAGACGCAAGTTTTATTTAGTCACAGTAATTGGATTTCTAGCATTTTTCTCTGTAAATAAAATTATGGGTAAAGTTAAATACATCAATTTTTATGTTCAAATTGATGATTTTTATGTTCAAAATTTAATTTAAAAAAAGATTTTTATGATTTCTTTTTTGTATTCATCATGGTACATGCATGCTGTACATGAAAAGAAAAATAACAAGTTAGAACAGGCTTATTGTAAACATCACCATAGACGTCAAATTTTACAGATCTATCACTTCCATACTACAGATATTTAGGACTACTTTTTAGCTGCAGTAAAGCATAATGACGATAGCGCCGCACCTTAAGTGCTGTCTCTTATACACATCTAGATGTGTATAAGAGACAGGTAAGTAGCTATTTTTTACCATATTTTATGACAAGCTTACATTTTTATATAAATTTACAGAAACTTTACACGGGTCATCCAGTATTTTCATCATTTTTGCAAGAGTACCAAACATTTTGTATGCTTGGGGCAGTGGCATATATAGGAGTTTTGAAATGGAGGCTAATGGGGTAGGTGGGTGGGGAGGAAGATGCATGAAAATTAAGCAATAAGGTGATTTTCAACTACTTGAGCATAATTTTTTTGCTTGAAAATTTCAAATGGGGGAGGGGGAAACTCGGAGACGCAAGTTTTATTTAGTCACAGTAATTGAATTTCTAGCATTTTTCTCTGTAAATAAAATTATGGGTAAAGTTAAATACATCAATTTTTATGTTCAAAATTGATGATTTTTATGTTCAAAATTTAATTTAAAAAAAATTTTTATGATTTCTTTTTTGTATTCATCATGGTACATGCATGCTGTACATGAAAAGAAAAATAACAAGTTAGAACAGGCTTATTGTAAACATCACCATAGACGTCAAATTTTACAGATCTATCACTTCCATACTACAGATATTTAGGACTACTTTTTAGCTGCAGTAAAGCATAATGACGATAGCGCCGCACCTTAAGTGTGTCAATGACTGTGAATTCTGACTTTTGACACAAGACTGGCCCTTTGGGATGTGTTTTTAAATATGATATTGAGCTGTTCTGTGATGTTAAGTTGATGTGTTAGATAAATAACATAGTAGGCATCTCTTTGTTGCAAGATCGTTCCTTTTGGAGTCATTAATGCGGATCTTCAATTTTTTTTTTATTTAGTTTTTAAAAATTTGTTGAATCGGCGAAGTCTTCAGAAAGTTTGTGTAAAACGTTCCTCTTAAAATTCATTAGTCAACAAAATACAGTAGGTCTAGGCCTATCTCTCGATTCGGAGGAAGATGCATCTGTATAACATAGAAAGCTTGAGTAACCGTAGCCATGTGCAATCTATGTCTATAACTGAAATATCTTTTTGATAGCTAATTCAACACTGTTCCTTTGAAGACAAAATTTCTACATTTAAACACCTTTAAATGCCCTCTAAAGATCATAATTTTCTATTTTTTTCTCATGTTTTGGGAGGGGGAAGGGCCCACCCATCGGATCAGGCCCACGCCTACTCGCTTCCATTTTGGATGGCCTATTTCGGTTTTTTTGGCTAACTCCTGGCATTATCTTACAATATTTTCATGTTCTTTTAGTTAATTATAAGCTATAAAGTGATGAATGAAATTACAGACACTGGTTTTTATTTAAACACATGACATCGTAAATTCATGGATAAAAATACTAAACACTTGGCTTTATATGTAGGCCTAGGCCTACAGTTGGTTGTAGGCTTAGAGCCTAGGTAAACGTCGTTCAATCATTATTAATAAGTATATTAAGTCTTACTTACATATTAGGTCAAAGGTCACCACAAATTTAACCCAACCTTAATTTTAAGAATCCCCAGATTTACGTATGCCCTCTGGTCCCATACCGTATATAAAATCGTACGTATTAGGTCAAAGGTTACCACAAATTTAACCCAACCTCTATTTTACGAATCCCCCGATTTACGTATTCCCTCCGGTCTAATGCTATCGTCATTATATTTGTGGAAACTTAAGAGGAAAATGAGTAGGCCTATTCTATTATTATTTTTATATCAGAGAAAATTATATAACAGCTGCTAATGGATGCATCTAGGGTGATTAAAGTTGGACATATGTATAGTAATAATAGTGCCTGTCTCAATGAATGCATTTATACTTATATTACAAATTGATTTTAAATTTGTGCATATTATTATTAGGAATGGCTAATTACCATACCGTACTATAGCTCTACCCAATTGATGTCGAGTTAACACATTCGCTTTCATTCTAAATTGACAATACATGTTTGTCAATATTTTAACAGTAAGATGCTCAATTTAGATTACAAGATGAAGGTATGCCTTTAATTGGATTTTGCTGCATCAGTCAACTTACTCCACAAAGCCTGCTGCAAGGTTGCATTTTAGACATTGCCATTAGGTAGGCAATGATGACATCAATAGCATCTGTACTTAGGATGTTGAAAAGGGGAGTGCTGAATATAATTATTAGGTCCACTGAATCTGGGTAGGGTTGGCATTTTTTAACTACAAACTACAAAACAAATAGCATCTCATAGGAAGGTTTTGTTTCGATAATTTAATTGTACTTGGCTACTCTTACTTCTGTCCATCGGTATACAGAATAGGATTTAGAATAATGCTAAATGTCAAATAACGAGGTCACCTTTGGCTTATTGTGGTGTCGCCAAATAAATATACAGTAGTAAGTGTGTGTAAAGTCAGAACATCTTCAACCTTTTAAATATCCCATACTGTACACAAGTAAAATTTTTCCCAGGCTTAATGTGTTCTTATTTTTTGGCAAATATCAGGCTGAAAAATAAAAAAATCTCTAGAAGAGAGACCAATCAAACCAAGGCCAGTAATACACGCATGTCTAAAAAGCACACTTTTCCCACAAGTTTGCGTATGTTTTGACACTGTCATTTTCAGGAAACTTAGCAATACAGTAGAACCTCGATTTTACGTACGTTACGGGACCGGAGGGCATACGTAAATCGGGGGATTCGTAAAATAGAGGTTGGGTTAAATTTGTGGTAACCTTTGACCTAATACGTACGTAACGCTCAATATACAGTACGTACAGTATGTATGAACGAACAATGTTACCTAGCTAGGCTAGACCAAGCCTCTAGGCCTACGAATAAACCATTTGTCTAGTGTTTTTATTCATCACTTTACGATGTCATAATAAAGTGTTCAAATAAAACCGTGTGACTAGTGTATTAATTCATCACTTTATATCTTTTATTTAACTAAAGAACATGAAAATATTGTAAGATTACCTATACGACAAAGGTATTCCCCTTCATGCCTATTTTAAACAACAGAGCTGTGGTGTTGTCTGGGCCTGTTGAGACAAACTAAACCCATGTGCGCTGCACTGGGTGAGCCAACCAATTAGCGTTCATGTATGTGAAACAGCAACCATGTGCACTGCACTGGGCGAGCCAACCAATTAGAGTTCGTGTACGAAACTATGTCTACTCAGCTTCATGTAGAAAATTCGACCAGACAAGTGTTTCCATGGTTTGCCACACGAAGCTAAGGAGGAAAGCAATTATTTTGAGCACCATCGGTAGTTGGTCACCTCACTTAGTTCACATGGTTTTAGATTATAACAACTCGGTATTAGACTCAATCAACGTTGCTGTTTAATGAAAATACGTTGCATTATGGTTTGTTTATTGTTATAGTTGATTGTTATAGTCTTTTTACTTATGGTTGCTCTGAAAAGGGCCGTTTTTTTTGAATATTTTCGGGGTTTTTGATGACGTCACCGTCGATACGAGGCGTAATTAAAACCGAGGGTTCGTATAACTGGGATACGTAAAAACGAGGTTCTACTGTAATGTCAAAGGGGCGGGGCTTACAGTAGCGGAAAGGTCTTTTACTGTATTGGATAAGGCATCTCACGGCGTTGATAACAGATCACCAAATTGTGTAAATTTGTTAACCGTAAAGGTGTCATGCTATTAATTATACCGCCATGAAACCAACCTGCCAACAGCAGATGAAATTCTTTCCCCACTAGGAGATCAGTATCTCTAGATAGTGCCAGGTTAATCATTGGTTGTCAAACAGCATTATGTGCAGAGATGGACTTTGGTCTGTGATGACCATGATACTTGTAGTAGCAGTAAAGTGTAATGAAAAAGCTAATATACTCTTATTTGGTGTGTATTCCAATCACTGATAACAAATCTAGGAATTGCTAATTGTTAATTCCTGTAATAAATCCCACAAAATGCAACATTATTATTATTAAAATATGTATTTTAATACTTGGAGTATGTATTATACTTTCTTATCTGAGATTAATCAGTGGACATTTTGGTTATTATATATTAATTGTGCTTGCATTGTGCATACTTTACCTCTTGAGCCTTTATGCATTTTCCAGAAAATTATAGAGAAAATTGAAAAGGGGAGCAATTAAAAGGCAATAGCCAGAAATAAGTTAAAAGGAAAAGACAAGTAAAGAAAGCTGAATTTTTGAGCAATGTCTTAAGATGGGACTTACAGGCACCGACTGATGAGCATTTTGAACATCCAGGGGAAGTTTATTCCAGAGGTCATTGAAAGAAATCATTAATAAACATTCATTATAAAAGATATAATAATCAGATAATGTAAACTAGTAAAGTACAGTAGACAATTCCTGAGTCTTATAAAATATATTAATGAGGTAGACCTATATTTTTATTATAAATTTAGTTTAATTGGTTGAAGCAGTTTAGCCCTTATTTTTCTTAATTTTTAAAATTATTTATGTGGATTTTATTTTCCTATAAACAACTTCGAAAATTTGTCTATTTTGTGTCGAAAGTGCTT